TGGCAATCTTTTAGAATTTTTGCTATTCTGGCTATTTCGTAGTAGTGGTTTTAACATGCCTGTTCTTGACTACCAACGACTGAAATACAGTTTCACGTATCTTTTGGCCACTTGGATTTCTGATTTTGTCTGTCCAGATTCTTGTCTATTCTTTCCTTACTGTCTTGTAGTGGTGATTTAACTACTCCAGGCAGAAGCCTTTATCTGTATCTCATTCACGCTTTCTATCTCAGATGAGGCGGCACTTCTGAAGAGCCTTTCCAGATCACCCCACTTGGGTCAAGGGGCTCTTCTTCCATAGCCTCTGCAGTCCTAGGCTGCATCATAGGGCATAAGGGTGAACACTGTGGCTGTGTGTCTCCTTCCCAGCTCCTGCCACAGGTGCTCATGTGCACAGAACCAGGCTGTTTTGTAATGTACACAGGCTCGGAGAGGGCTCCTCACATGATACGGGAGCATAAGTTGGAAAGAAGCCCCAGGCATAAAGCAGAGAGCTGGCAGGAATGTGTATGCACTGTCTCCTAACATTGCCTGTTTTGGGGTGGGGGGTTGTTTTTGAGTCAAGGTCTCCTGGTGCACAGGCTGGCCTCAAACTTGCTGTATAGACAAGAACAGCTTTGAGCCCCTGACCCTCCTGCCTCCACTTCCACAGTGCTGAGGTTACAGGCCTGTGTCTTCATGCTTTGTTTTATGCAGTACAGGGGACTGACCCCAAAGCTTCATGCATACTAGGCAGACACTACCAACTAAGCTATATTTCTAGCTCTTGACATCTTTAAGAAGGGGTCAGCCATACGCTATTATTAGAGATCCCTTCCTCACCGGATTAAGAATGGATATCACAATAGTTGGTATTTGTGAGATCTGTTATTTTTCTCAGGTGGATTATGTCACCATTTCAAACATAATGGAACACTTTATGTGGCGTAGTTAAAAAAAAAAAAAGAATAGTTATAGCAATACTTAAGAGGATCCAGTCAATTTTATCACTGGTCTCCCCACTCCCAATAGCATTTTTAACATCTAACAATCCTTTAATTGCTAGGGGAAGAGCCTCAGAATTCATTAGACTGATAAAGTTATACAAAATGCACATTTACTTTTATTTTCCTTCACCCTGTCTCCTTCCCGCTCCCTTCTCCCACCTCCTTGTTTCTGACACAGGTCTTGCCGTGTAGCTCAGGCTGGCCTCAGATTTGCAATCTTCCTCTCTTGGCCTTCTAAGACATGGGATTACAGGCATACACAACCATGCCTCACTCTGTCTTTTTAACCTCTATTTCTGACCACATACTAACTCTTGACTTTCAATACATTCTCTGTAGAGCTTCATTTGCATTCTTCTTGAATGTTCTCTCACACTTGACATAACTGATTCCTTCTGTGTTAGACCTGTGCTCTCTGCTCGCTGGTGGTCACAGTCCTGGTAGCTACACTCTTGCTGATATTGCTGTTCTCTTCACAGCTGTGCCTCAGGTCATGCCAAGATAACTTTTGCTGGGCCCATACTCCCTCTTTTGAAGACTTTATTTCAATTCTCCCTCAAATCACTACTTCTAGCTGGGACGACAAAGCGGAGTGAGAGCTGGGTTTAAAGAAGGAAAGGAATGCAGTCCATCCCAGACTTGGGACGGAGGTGTTCTTACAGGAGGGATGGTAACAGCTAGCTTTTATTGAGTACTCACGAACCCCAAGGTGCCCACCTCACAGACAGTCTTTTATCACTTCTTTTAATATCTAAAACAACTCTCTGATGTAAGCAGCATTAGAACACCCGTTTGCAGTTAAGGGATCAGATACAGCAGCTTGAAAGAACTCATGACACGGTCCATGACTAGAGCAGTGATTCTCAATTTGTGGGTCGTGACCCCTTTAGGGGTTGCTTATCAGATATTTACATCATGATTCACAACAGGAGCAAAAAAATTACAGTTATGAAGTAGCAACAAAAATGATATTATGGTTGGGGTCACCATAGCATGAGGAGCTGTATTAAAGGGCCACAGCCTTAGGAAGGCTGAGAACCACTGGACTAGAGGTTCTTGTATGCCTAATCATTATGCTATTATTTTCCTTGTTAAGATGTAAGGAATGACTTTAAGACCAAAACAAACAAAAACAAAACAAAAACCAAAAACCAACCAACAAAACCCCAAAACAAAAACAAAAAACAACAAACAAAAAACCCCACACACAGAGCAGGGAAAGCCGAGTGAACCCGTGAAGGAGCATGGAAAGCAGTAAAGAGAATGGGGAGATGAGACCTGGAAGTTTAGTGGTCCGTTTTCTGGCTGGACTTGGTACGTGAATGTGTGTGTGTGCACGTGTGTGTGTGCGTGAGTGCTCAAGTTTACGTGTGTACATCATGTGAGGGCAGAGGTTGGTGCTGGTTGTCTTCCACATTCTACCTTATTAAGATAGGTTTCTCATCGGGTTGGAGCTCCTGGGTTGGCTGGCTGGACAGTGCTCTCCCGAGATCTGCCTGCCTGTCTCTGCTGTGCTGGGCCACAGTGACACACCTGGCCTTTCTGTGAGACCCCAGTCCCTTTTCCTGACTGAGCGCTCACTCCCCAGCATCTGAGAAGAGGCTGGTAACAAGTGAGCTCACGCATAACAGTGGGGCAACTTTGAACCATTTAGCACTGGGATGAAAGTAACATTTCATCTCCTACAATACATACACAACCACGGCAACTTGGACCAACAGAATTTGCAATGAAATGAAGGGGAGAAAGACAGAATTGAATGGGAAATAGATACTTGTTCGAGATAAATGGTAACATGCATAGGGACCTGAAAGTCTCCCCCTCGTTTAACTTTATTCTCTGGTCCATGGCTTCCGCTTGGGGAAAAGTACGAGACAGGTTCCTTGTGAACACACACACACAGCTGTCACCAGGCCATTTTGTTTCCGCCTAGGTTTCTCACTGTGTGGTAGTCTGGCAGCCAGGAGCAAGCACCATTCATTTCTCTTCCCAGCAATCCCAGGAAGGGATGGCCTGTGCCAAGCAGAAGGCTGGCATGCGCTAGCCCACCCAGACTCACTGTCACAGAGACTGGAGTGGCAGGCAGGTGGCTGTCGAAGACTGGAGGAGGGAGGCAGGGAAACCCTGCCTGGAAGAGGGGGTGGAGTGGGGCTGCTACACAGCATCCTGGCTTCTGAAGCAAAGGCAAAGGCAAGACCAAAACAAACGGGTGAACAAAAACCCCAAACAAGAACATGTGGGAGAACTGGGAAGAACCAGGGCCAGGAGTCCAGGCGCCTGGACCAAATAGGGGGCAGATGCTACCTAAAGCCTGCTTGCTTTAGTGTTGGTGAGCACACAGTGAACCCAGGCCTGTGCTTCGTGGTGACATTATCCTTCTGCAACTGGAGTGGAAGCTGGGAGGTAGAGCTCTTTCATGGAGAAAAAGGTTTCTGATAACAAAACCAAAATGACACTGCGTAAAAGCTGTGTATCTTCTTGACTCAAAGGCAATCGCATTTATACAAATTGGCTGGAGGTGCTAACATTTTGGAATGGTACGAATCAGAAAATGCCGAGTCAAAGTTCTACAGCCCTACCGTGAGCTGTGCATCAGAATCTTAAACGTGTGCAGGTGAGAGCGGTTCTGGCTTAAGCTTCACAAACAGATAAGAAGGGCATGTTTTTGCATTCTATACATTTACCACCCAAACCAGTCTGCATCGATAAGGAAAAAAGTGAGCCTCCACTGTAGAAACACCCCAGTCCAAGGAGTTTTCTGGAATGACATTTTTAAAAAGGCATGTAAAAAGTCATGATTATGTGCCTATTTTTCCACCAGCATTAACCATCCATTTTAAATTCACACAGCAACAAAGAAAATTGAGAATATTAATGTTTCTTCTTTTGGCAGCCTCATCATTACTCAGATTCTTAGATCAAAATAGTTGGTGAAGCACAGGTACTGATCTTATTTGTCTCTGAATTTTGCTTGCTGGCCAGCTCAATTTTTAACAAAGAAAAATGGGCTGCTCTTGCTCTTTGCACAAAGATGCACTGTTTTCAGAGCAAATTAAAAAAAAAAAAAGGATGGTGATGTGGTGGTGGAGAAATATCTAGTAGGATAATTTTATAAACTCTATTAACGAATGAAATGTATGACTTGAGAGAAAATTATGCTTTGCAATTAGAACTTAATACCAGTATTTGGGAAACTCAGCAAGCAAGTTTCCCTAAATTTCCTTTTCTTCTCTCTTTTTCAGCACATTCTAATTAAAGACACGGTTTGTTTTAAACACTTAGGCACTTGTGTCTCAGGAGTCTGGAACAGTGTTCCGAGTTTTCAGAAGGAGAGAGGCATAGCCCTGGGTCAGGAGGAGGCACCTCAGCTCCTTTCCAGAGCTGCCATCTGGCCTTGTTTGTTTGTGCTTCCAACTTTTTGGAACAGAGTTTCTCTGTTCAGGATGGAGAACCAGCAGAGGAAGTGCCTTCCAGCAGGCTACTTTTCCCTCTTAAAACAAAAACAAAAACAACTAGTTTTTTCCATCTTTAGTTTGGTCAAACATACAAGCATGAGTAACACAACCACAAAATTTAACACACTGGCCACCTCAGTTGCCTTGGCCAAGTTCTCCAAGATGCAAACAAGTAGCCTTGCCATAGCCTGCGGTCCGTGCCTTTCAAATCTTTTCAAAACACAAGCTGTCATTAAGGCTACAGCAATTTGGCCTAGAAATCAAACATTTGTCTCATTGGCTTTAACAATAAAAGGAACATTTCCAAGCAGTTTTCCTAATTTTGTATAGTACACGAGCCATGTTAAAAAAAAAAAAAAGCACATAAAGCAAAAAAACAAAACAAAAATCTCCCCAAATATAAGTAAGAAACAAAGCGTCATTGTTAGATGGACCAAACAATTTCATTATGAAAAAGAGCTTGGGAACCCACAGGTTCACACTCCCCCCCCCCCAAAAAAAAAATCTGTATTCTCTTATTTTGGAAACAGATAATAAATACAACAGAAATAAGGAGTACCTTGTAAAGTAAAATCCAGCAGTGCATATTCATAAGCAAATTCTGTCTTTGTTTCCACTTGCGGTCTCTTCAGGGTAGAAAATATTTTTCCAGGGCTGCTTTCATCGGGGTCTTCTAGCTTCCTAAGTCCGCACCCCATGGCAAAGTCTGCAAGGAGTTAAGAGTGCTGGAAAGAGCGAGAGGAGCGAGAGCAGCCAATTCTGTTGTTCAAGCTGCGAGGAAACAAAGTTTAGACTGAACTTCTTTGATTTGGTTTTCAGCGAAATGATAGATAGCCGGGAAGCAGGCGGCGGGTCGGAGGACTGGAGCTGGGGACTTCATCCATTCTTCTGCGAGGTCACTGAGCCCGTGGTTTAGCTCGAGCTCCGGGAGGCTGGGCTCCAGCTTCCAGGAGGCTCCTGGAAAGCGGCTGCAACTTAGCGGAGGATTTCCATGCCACGTCAATGTACAGGCAGCGCCCCTACCAGAGTTCTGCGGCTCAGGGCACCGACAGGCTTTGTCTCACCCAGTGGCTGGATGGAAGAGAGGTGTCCAGAAATGGAATTAAAGGCAAAATGTAACTCGGGTGTGATTATCTTCAGATGTAAGACAGAGTCAGTCAGAGTGATGCGGTTCTTTCTGTTTGCTCTGCTCTGTCCCGTGCTGGAGCTCTCTTCCCTGCTTCTCCCAAGGAAGCTAAAGGGAGGAGGAGAGGAGAGAGGAAGAGAGGGAGGGAAGGAAGGAGAGAGGAAGGGAGGGAGGGACAGAAGGAAGGAGAGAGAGAGAAAGAGAGAGATTGAGAGACTGATTCTCTACGTGGTTGGAAGCAAAATCAATTTCAAGAAAGGAAGCGAACTTTCTGAGGAAGCTCTGGAATCCAACAGGAGAAGAGTAGCAAGAAAGAAAGAAAAGAAGGAAAACCTAGAAAAGCACTTTAGTCCTAGGTGGAACTTTTGAAAACTTCTTCCCACATGGAGATTTTTTTTTCCTGGAAAAAGTGTGCTGATTAAAACCATCAAGTATAAAAAACCATAAGACATTTTCATAAAAAAGATTTGAGGATGAAAGTGGATAATGGAGTGAATATGTTACCATGGTTTATTTTATTTTATATTTTTTAATTAGCATGTAGCAATAAAAAAGAAAAAAAAACACTTAAAAAGAAAAACATTTTCGTATGTAATTGGAAAGAGGAAACAGTTAGATGAGGAATTAGTTTTCCCAATCTTATTGGTTTATTATTTTATTTATTTATGTGCATGTGTGTGGTTGCCTAAATGTGTGCAGGGGTCCTTAGCTACCAGAAGAGGGGGGTATCAGATCCTATGGACCTGGAGTAGCAAATGGTTGTAAACCACCATTTGAGTGCTGGGACCATATCTCAGGAGCAGCCAGTGCTCTCAGATTTGGGCCAACTGACCAGCTCAGCAGCCCTGGTTTAAAACACCGTTCTTAGCAGATGTGACTGATGGCAGAGCTACAGGTCTCAAATAGCCTTAGTAAAAAAAAAAAAAAAAAAAAAAAGAGTGTAGATAACTGGACTGATTTAATCCTATACCTTACCCCAGGTCAAGAATAAGTTAGGAGGAACCAATGCAATGCACAGTTATTGTGCTGTGTCGTGCCCAGGTCCGGGACGGTGTGCCCCTGCCACTCCGAGCCCTGGAAGCAGACTCTGCTGCTCCTGCTTAGCACAGACATGCTCCTGGGCACGTTACTTTCTTTGAGTCTCAGCGTCTTGCCCTCTTAAGATGTCCCTAGTGGCTCTTCTGCCACCGGCTGGTTTCAAAGGCTGGAAGCTAACCCCATCTTCTGCCCAGAGCAATGCATTTGCCCACAGTTGCACCTAGGAGAAAGGGCTGACAGTCATGGTTGGAAAGAAGTGATTTTGGCCCCACTCGCACTATTTACAAAATAAATCCTGATCTTGGAGAACCTGAAGAATGCCAGTGTGAAGAAAATGTTCAGTCATTAAGTGTGCACATGAAAACCCTTGAATGGAGCATCTGTGGATTATTTAGTTTGGAGAGCACTGTCATCTTTTGCCTCTAACTTCTGCCTACTTTCCTTTATATATTTTATTTCTCAAAGATGTTTTGTATAGGAGACCATTCCATAGTCTGCATGTTTAAGGATAGGCGTAGTCAGGCGAAGGAAATTCTGGGTAAGTTAGATGAGTCAGACAGTGCTGAGCGAGGGACTCATTTGACTATGTTCAGAGATTCATGCTTTCCAAATTTCATGTCCCCTTTTTGTAGAATGGGCTGTTGTGCTGTTACACAGTAACAATGAGCTCTCTGCTGGTCACCAGAACCAATCACAGTGCTTGGGAAGTTGTTTATTAAGTACCCACTATGCTTATCAAGTGCCTGCCATTTCCAGGCACTCAAAAACCACTGGGTATAAAAGATGACTAATAGGGTCTGTCCCCTACAGGAACTTATGGGACTATATCCTGGCTGTTTTCAAGGATGAGTATATGTAGGATTGACACAGAGAGGTGGGAGCATGAGCCTAGAGAAGGGAAGCACATAACTAAAGTCAGTATGGTGTGAATGAGTGGTTACTGGAACATAAAACATAAAAGAGGAGAAAAAACAAGCTGGGAATGAGGAATGGGCTAAGCTGTAATGGACGTTGAATGCTATGCAAATAGAACTTAGATTTTATTTTGTAGGTGATGGAATTAAAGGACATCCACTTTCCTGTTAGATACATCACTGGTACAGCCTGAGGAAGATGGTTGAAGTAGAATAAAGGGGCTAGAAAGAGCCTAAGTTCAGCTGATGCTGATGCCAAGGGAGTTAGCTCCTTCATACTATTATGTAATAGTTACTATTATTATTTTGAGACAGAGTTTCTCCATGTAAGCCTGACTGTCCTGGAATTCACTCTGTAGACCAGGCTGGCCTTGAACTCAGAGATCTGCCTTTGTCTGCATCTCAAATGCTGGGATCAAGGGTGTGCGCTACTATCGCTGCATGCCTGAGAATAAGGCTCCTTAAACAAGGCCTGACCAAAGACACCACATCTGGCATGCCAGCACTGATGGGGGAATCTCACGGGACCCCACCTCTAGATGAGGAGCTACAGACAACCAATGACTTCTGAAAGAAGGAGAATGAGCCCCTTAATGGTTGTTCAATACCAAGTGGCCAGCTCTAAAAACATACATGCAAGCAACACTCAATGGACACAATGGGTTGTGATATGCATATATACATCATACATACATATTTATGCTTAGGAACACGTGTATAACAGCAATAAGAAAAAAGATGCCATAAATTTGAGAAGGAGTGAGAGAGACATGGGAAAGGTTGAAGGGAGGAGAAAGAGGAGGAAATTATATAATTATATTTTAATTAAAAATAAAATTGGACAAAAAAGTGAGAACCGTCTTAGGAATGCTTCAATGTATGTACATCAGTAAATGTTATAAATTTGATAAATGCTCTCAAGGACAGAAATCACATGATTATTTTGATAGATGCAGAAAAGTTTTCTTATAAGATCCATCACCCGTTCATATTAAAAGTGTTGAAGAAAGTACGAATAGAAGGGGCATATCTCAACATAATAAAAGCTACATATGATAAATCTATAGTGAATATTGTATTAAATGAAGAAAATTAAAAGCATTTCTATTAAAATCATACTAGGGTATTCAGTTTCTCCATCCTTACTCAATATAGGACTGTAAAACTTAGCTCGAGTAATAAGAGAAAAAAAGACTAGAAATATGAAAGGAAGAAGTCAAAGTATCTCTACTTACAGGTGATATGCTTCAATAGACAAGAGCCGTTAAACAATATAGCTGGGCATGGTGGCACACCTTTGATCCCAGCACTCAGAGGCAGAGGCTCTCTGTAAATCTGAGCCCAGCTTAGTCTACAGAGTGAATTCCAGGACAGCCAAGACTACACAGAGAAACCCTATCTCAAAGAAAAAAAAAAAAAACAAACAGTCTACCAGCAAACTCTCTACTTTCAGCGAAGTGGCTAGGTACAAAACCAACACACACACACACACACACACACACACACACACACACGTCAGTAGCTGCCTCCTATGCCAATGGCAAACATATTGAGAGCGATCAAGAAAACAGATTCCCAATAGCCTCAAAATTTTACCTTGAATTGAACCTAACCAATAGAAGACCTCTACAATAAAAACTTTAAAGCACCCAAGAAAGAAACTGAGGAAGTCAAGATGGAAAGACATGGGTTGGAAGAATTAATCTTGTGAAAACAGTCACTTTACTAAAAGCACATGAACACACAATATTTAATTCTTCATCAGATCATGAGCTTTGGAGTGTTTTTGCATTTTTCGGATATTGTGAACATTAGTGGCATAACTTTGTATCCATTTGACTGGTCAAAATGAAAACATATAACACCAAATACAGATTTTTTTTTAATCAAGGAAATGTTGCTTATAGGCAACATTATAAGAGTGTAACTTTAGGGCTGGAGAGACAGCCCAGTGGTTAGGAGCGCTGACTGCTTCAGAGGACCCAGTATCCCCATGGTAGCTAACAGCTGTCTGGTACTCCAGGCCTTTGAGAGTACTGTGTGCATGTGGTACACAGACACACAGACAAAACACCCCAAGACAAAAATAAAATGAAATAAAAGCAAATAAATCTTTAGGAAAAAGTGTAAATTTATTTAACTATGTTGGAAGAAACTTGGCGTTATCTTGTGAAGCTGAACATTCACATTTTTTTTTTTTTTATTTTTTATGATCCAGCAATTTCATTTCCAGGTGTAGGCTCAAGAGGAACTTTAGCACCTAACTATCAAGAGAGACATCTGAGAGCGTGAATAGCAATGCTGCATCCCTTGTGTGTAGGAACAGCCTTTCACCTCACGGAATTCTGTTGCACAGTGAAGGAAGCCCCTGCAGTATCTGATCATTTTTCTTATATGATGGGAGAAGAGAAGCATGCTGCTTAGTTTTTTTGTCAACTTGCTATAAACTAGAGTCATCTAGGAAGAGGGAACGTTGTTTCTGAAAATGCCTTCACCAGATTGTCTGTAGGCAAGTCTGTGGGCCATTTTCCTAGTTAGTGATTGCTGTGGGAGGGCGCAGGCCATTGTGTGCAATGTCATCCTGGTCAGGTGGTCCTGAGTTGCATAAGAAAGCAAACTGAAGTTCAGGCATTCTCCTTTCGCCCTCCTTGTTACTTAGTTTCTTTGGGTCTGTGGAGTGTAGTGTGTCTATCCTGTATTTTATGGCTAATATCCACTTATAGGTGAGTACATACCATGTGTGTTTTTCTGGTTCTGGGTTACCTCACTTAGGATGATCTTGTCTAGTTCCACCCATTTGCCTGAAAATTTCATGGTTTCCTTGTTTTTAATAGCTGAGTAGCATTCCATTGTGTAAATGTACCACAGTTTCTTTATCCATTCTTTGGTTGAGGGACATCTGGGTTTTATCCAGTTTCTGGCTATTACAAATAAAGCTGCGATGAACATAGTTGAGCAAATGTCCTTGTGGCATGGTGGAGCATCTTTTGGTTATATGCCCAGGAGTGGTATAGCTGGGTCTTGAGGTAGACATATTCCCAGTTTTTTGAGAAAGTGCCAGATTGATTTTCAAAGTGGTTGTACAAGTTTGCACTCTCACCAGCAATGGAGGAATGTTCCCCTTTCTCTACATCCTTGCCAGCATGTGCTGTCACTTATGTTTTTGATTTTAGCCATTCTGAGGGATGTAAGGTGAAATCTCAGAGTCATTTTGATTTACATTTCCATGATGACTAAGGACATTGAGCATTTCTTTAAGTGCTTCTTGACCATTCGAGATTCCTCTGTTGAGAATTCTCAGTTTAGCTCTGTACCCCATTTTAAAATTGGATTATTTTGTTTGTTGTTTAATTTCTTGAGTTTTTTAAAATATATATTTTGGATATTAGCCATTTTTCAGATGTAGGGTTGGTGAAGATCTTTTCCCAATCTGTAGGCTGACTTTTTTTTTTTTTCTTTCACTCAGAAGGGGAAATAAAATAGACATCAGAAGTGAATAGAGAGGGAACTGGGTAGGAAAAGGAGTATGGAGGGGGATGAGGGTGGGAAGAGTGGAGGTGGGTGGGAGGCGAGAGGGCGGGGGGGGGGAGAGAGAGAGAAGGGAAACTGATAGGGGCATCTCTGGGACCAGCTGAAGACCTGGGACAGGACAGGCTCCTGGGAGGATATAGAGGTAACTCTAGCTGAGATCCCTAGCAGTGGGGGATATGGAACTGAAGGGGCCATCTCCAGTCTCGAGGCAGGACTACCAGTGAAGTGAGGGTAACACCAAACCACCAACAAAACTTTCTACCCCAAATTTACCTTGTCTACAAGATGTCCAGGGATAAAGATTGAACAGAGGCTGAGTGAAAGGCCAACCAATGACTGGTCTAACTTGAGAACCATCCCATGGGAGGGAGCCAACCTCTGACACTGGTGGAGTGGCTCCACTCAGATGCTGAGACCCACAGCCAAACATTAGGCAGATTAGATGCTATTAGAGAGTCCATTAGCTGCCAATTGGAGCTAGCTTCTGAGTTAGGGATGGGAGCCTGTGTCTATGTCCCCTCTCAACACTGGGGCTGCATTAGGCCCCTACTTGTGCAGGCCCTGCGCATGCTGCCTCAGTCTCTGTGAGTTTATGTCATCTGGGCATCAGTCCTGTCCTGTCTGGAAGGCACTGTTTTCTTGGTGTCTCCCATTCCCACCGGCTCTTACCATCTTTCTGATTTCTCTTCCTCATGGTTCGAGAGCTCTGAGGGGAGGGATTTGATGAAGACATCCCACTTAGGACTGAGTGTTCCACAGTCTCTCAGTCTCTGAACACTGTCCAGTCATGGGTTTCTATATTAGCTCTCATCTGCAGGAGGAAGCTTCTCTGATGCTGGCTGAATAAGACACTGATTTATGTGCATAGCAGAATGTTATTGAGTCCTTTTATTGTTATTTTTTTTGTTATTGTTTTTTTAGCAGAACAATAGTATTTGGTTTTCCCGTAGGTCCATGGCTTGTCTAGTCTCAGGTTCTCGGCCATCTGAGAAATGGGCTTAATTTCATGGAGTAGTCCCTAAATTCCACCAGATAGTGGTTGGTTAATCCTACAACTTTTGTGTCATTATTTCACCAGCGTATCATGCAGACAGGTCATCACTGTGGACTGAAGGGTTTGCAGCTGGATTAGTGTTTAGCGCTCTCTTCTAGTCGCATGCAGAATACCATGAACACTAGTGAGTAGGAAACCCCCAACTTTTAAGTTTACTGGATTTTTGCAAATTGGTGGATCAACTAGAGCACACAGACTGACTACTCAGTGGATGTTTGTTTCCCCTTCTGTTACTCCTCTAGAGAATTCCATCCGTCTAGCATCTGAATCATTACAGAAAGCATATCCAGCTCACCACGTCTTCACACATCATGAAGAAATGAATGAACATGGCTGAATCTTAGGAACAAAATGTTGAGTTAAAAAGGTAAGGTGGCTACTACATGTAGCACTGTCTTTTAAAAATCTTTTTACTGGTGACTAAATATAAGCAATGTTACCCACTATTGTTATACAGGAATGTGAATGTGCAAGTAAAAACTCAGAGCAATTATTACTCATGGGGGGGGAGGGGAAGGAAACAGCTCATAGGTCTAAAGTGTAGCTCATCTTTAACTTTCCTTTCTTTCCCTTCCTTCCTTCCTTCCTTCCTTCCTTCCTTCCTTCCTTCCTTCCTTCCTTCCCTCCCTCTCTCCCTCCCTTCCTTCCTTTTCCAGATAAGGTTTCTCTGTGCAGCCTTGGCAGTCCTGGAACTCACTGTGTAGACCAGGCTGGCCTCACAGAACTCACAGATATCTGCCTGCCTTTGCCTCCTTGAGGGCTGGGATTATAGGCTTGTGCAGGGCTGACAAAATTTTATTGTAACAAAGTCACTACTGATCAATGAGGGCCACAGAACAGACTGGGGGGCTGAACTAGGACTCTGAAGAGACGTTGTGCAGCATATTTAAAGGATGAAACCAGGATGGGCTGTAGCATTGTTCTCTCATATTTTGACAGAAGGGTTTGAACAAGGGAGTTTCCATAAATCAGGATAGGAGTTGGTTCCTGAGCACATGAACTTAGTTGATCCTGCCAACAACATGAAGAAGTTGTCCTTGAAATGGCTGCATTCAGACAACTGTTTCCTTACAAGTTGTCCATGAGATGCCTGGACTCAGACAACTGTTTTCTTACAATAGAAGCTGTTCAGCTGTTGGGAAGTCCTCAGCTCCCCTAGGGCTTGGGACCTTGAACTTAGTTTCTCCTTATGATTAAATGGAGTCTGAAAATGAAATGGTAGTACTTAGAATAAGTTTCTTTTGCTTGTTTCCAACAATCCTTTGAGAGCCACCAACAGTACCTAGGTTGGGTGAGGAGTGGTGCTCCGTCCCATTTTATTAAGTGCATATATTCATTGTTTAAATTAAATGGGGTTAGATGAGAAAATATGATTGTAGATGAGAAAATATTCTCTGAGCCACGGATTAATAATCCAATTTTACTTTCCCAGCTCTTCTCCTAGTAAAAATTAAAATTCCATACTAAAAGCTCAGTTCTGGAAAAACTTTACGACTATTTGAGGAGAAAATTGTAACTGGTTTTGTACAATAAACCTGAAAGTTAACGTTTCCTTCTCTGCACACCCAGTCACACTGTACTCCAGTCCCCGGATCACATTTCAAATCAGTCCTTAAGGCTTAGCAAAATGTTGGAATAAGGTAATTCTCCCCCCCCCTCCCCGTGCTTCTCTTTCTCTAAAGTGCTCTAGGAAATTATATTTCTTTTTTTCAGATTTATTTAAATTCTGAGATGAAATTTAAATCGTTTTTCAGATTTGACTAGGCTGGATTTGTGTCCTGCAATATGCTGGTTAATGGGTTTGGGAAAATGCCTCAGTATAAAAATCTTGCCAACAAGCTCGGCCCAGAACCGATTCAGCTCAGTACAGATCCGGGGCAGATCCCAATGAGCAAAACTGCGAACCAAAGCACCACCCAACAGGGCACTACTCAAACCCTCCCGCCAGCTAGCAGCCCTGGCGCGCCGCAGGAAGCCCGGGGAGGTGCCGTGGGCGGGGCCGCAGAAGCAAGGGCTCGCCTTTCATTGGCTTCCGAGCCGGAAGCCGCGGCGCTGTCCCGCTGCGCACGCGCCCTCCTAGTGCTCGGGAGCAACGCCTCCAGGACTGGCGCCGGCCGGCACCATGCTGCGGCAGTGCGCTCTGCGGGTGCTGAGTGGCGCCCGCGCGGGGCGCGGCTGTCGCCGCTACAGCTCGTGCTCGCCGAGCGCCAGCGGCGACGCTCGAGAAGCGCGGGCCTACTTCACTACGCCCATTTTCTACGTGAACGCCGCGCCGCACATCGGGCACCTGTACTCGGCGCTGCTGGCCGACGCCCTGTGCCGCCACCGTCGTCTCCGCGTTCCCGGCTCCGCGTCCACGCGGTTCTCCACCGGCACGGACGAGCACGGCCTGAAGATCCAGCAGGCGGCGGCCACCGCGGGCCTGGCCCCAATCGAGCTGTGCGATCGAGTGTCTGCCCAGTTCCAGCAGCTTTTCCGGGAGGCTGGCATCTCCTCCACCGACTTCATCCGCACCACGGAGGCTCGGCACAGGGTGGCGGTGCAGCACTTCTGGGGGTTGCTGGAGGCTCGGGGTCTGCTTTACAAAGGGATCTATGAAGGGTGGTATTGCGCCTCCGACGAGTGCTTCCTGCCTGAGGCCAAGGTTACTCGGCAGGTGGGTCCGTCCGGGGATCCATGTCCTGTGTCTCTCGAGAGCGGACACCCTGTCTCCTGGACCAAGGAAGAAAATTACATTTTCAGGCTTTCCCAGTTTCGAGAACCTCTCCAGCAGTGGCTTCGAAACAACCCTCAGGCGATCACCCCGGAGCCGTTCCACCGGGCAGTCCTTCAGTGGCTGGAGGAGGAGCTGCCTGATTTGTCGGTTTCTCGGAGGAGTAGCCACCTGCACTGGGGCATTCCGGTTCCCGGGGACGACTCGCAGACTATCTACGTGTGGCTGGATGCCCTGGTCAACTACCTCACTGTAGCTGGCTACCCAGATGCAGAGTTCAAGTCTTGGTGGCCCGCCACATCACATATCATAGGTAAGGACATTCTCAAATTTCATGCTATTTACTGGCCTGCCCTTCTCCTAGGGGCTGGATTGAGGCCACCACATCGCATCTGTGTACATTCGCACTGGACAGTGAGTGGCCAAAAGATGTCCAAGAGCTTGGGCAACGTGGTGGATCCCAGGACTTGCCTTGATCGGTATACTGTGGATGGCTTCCGCTATTTTCTCCTTCGGCAGGGTGTTCCCAACTGGGACTGCGACTATTATGATGAAAAGGTGGTTAAACTGCTGGACTCCGAGCTGGCAGATGCCATAGGAGGGCTTTTAAACCGGTGCACCGTGCACAGAATAAACCCTTCTGGGATCTACCCGACTTTCTGTGCTGCCTGTTTCCCCAGGGAGCCAGGGGGCACGGGTCCGTCAGTTCGTGTGCAGGCAGAAGACTATGAACTCGTAAATGCAGTAGCCACTTTGCCCAAGCAGGTAGCGGGCTATTATGATGCCTTTCAGATCTATAAGGCTCTGGAGGCGGTATCCAGCTGTGTTCGTCAAACTAATAGTTTCGTCCAAAGGCACGCACCGTGGAAATTGACCTGGGAGAGCCCTGCTGATGCTTCCTGGCTGGGTACCGTGCTTCATGTGGCCCTGGAGTGTTTGCGAGTGTTTGGAACTTTGCTTCAGCCTGTTACTCCCAACTTATCGGATAAGCTGCTTTCAAGACTTGGGGTCTGTGCCACTGAGAGAGGCCTCGGGGAGGTCGACTTCCTACCTCGATTCTATGGACGCCCAAGCCCTTTTGAAGGGAGAAGGTTGGGACCTGACACTGGGCTTTTGTTTCCCAGACTGGACCAATCCAGGACTTGGCTAGGGAAAGCAGACAGAACCTAGGAACGCAGTTCATACTGGCTGGTGGTAAAAGAACAAATGTAGTTTTTGCATTTTCAGGAAAGTTAAAGTGTTCAGAAAGTGTTAATCAGAGATGAGCACATGAGCTGTGTCCTTAAGAGCGACTGAGGTGCCTAACCCACCCTTTTCATTTCTCTGTGCCACTAACCACTGTACTTGGTTCCCTAGTGTCTCCAAGAGAAGGACGGTTGAGGGCAGGACCAAGTTGCTGATACTGTTCCTTCTCATTGTACCTTCTCCCAAACCATGGTCCACGCTACCTCTCATAGCCTCTGCTCCTCAGGCTGATTTAGCACAGTCCCTCCTTGAACTGCAACTGGGATTCAAAGTCCCTGACCTGTTTTTACAGGTTAGCCCTACTTTGTTAAACACGGTAGGTCTCCTGTTAAAGAGACTTTCTTTCCTTCTTTCTTTTCTGAGAACTTTAGGAACCAGTGTCCTAGACTAGATGATTTTTGCCCATGTTTGTACTCACTTTGCAGTTGTGCTTTATAATACTACACTTCATCCAGTAGGGGACTCTGCTCTCACAATTCAGCCTCTTCACAGCGTGGCTTCAGAAGACTTAGAATTATTTTCAGCTTTCTAAATTCACAGAGCTTTAGAATTTTACCGTTTTTCTTAAAGGATAACTTTGAAACCACTGTTATTTTAACAATACAAGATACTAGGGTTCTCATTTTAAAACTACTAAAAGTGACATGTACAATAAGCTAGTAGGTAAATATAACAGGTTTATATGATAAAACTAAAGCTCTTGAGGTACACTGTGTAGTACCAGTATAAATTTCAGTAGTGGTTATATGTATAATGCATCTATAAAGCCCTCTCTTTATATTTCTTATTTCTTAACTTAGACATATATAATTTACCTCATATTACTATTTTTGGTCAATCAGGATACATAGTACAAAATCATGTAATATTGTTATTAATATATTTGTCAAAGTAATTTTTGTTGATTACTTTTCTTTGAGACAAGGTTTCACTATGCAGTTCAGTCTCCTGCCTCAACCTTTCAGGTGTTGGTATTACAGGGTGTGCCACAATGCCTGTCTTGTTCTTTCAACTTGTTATTAAAGCTTGATCATAACTACCTTATTTAGATCTCTTTGGTTATATTTATTGAAGGTAATGTTGAAAGAAGAAAATTATCAGTGTTTAGGATTGTCAAGGATTCAGGGTTCTCTCCAAGGCTCCATATAAAAGAACATCCAGAGAAGATGTTAAAGTAACAATTAGTGTGGTGATTAGAATAGTCAGTCAGTGTTACGTCTGTTCACAGCACAGCTTGGCCACAGCTTAAATGAGCTTGCTTTGGAACATAAATGCTGATCTGGTATCGTGCAGAAAGGGCTCGACACGGAGTAAACAGTTGAGCTGGCAGTTGCTCCAAGTTTACTCTTAAGTGCCACCCTTCTGCTCTAGTTCTATTAGTCAGCAAAGCGACAGCCTAGGTTGCGTGGAAAGGTGGAAGGACCATTTCCACATGCGTTCCTTGGGGCTCCTTGTATCACTTGTGCCTTCGGTCATCCCAGGCCCTTATGGCATCTTTTAGTTACCTACCGGGATTCATGGGGTAGACTTCTGGGGTACAGGACAGTCTCTTCGGACTGCGTAGTGGTGTGAGGTAGTGTATATCCCTGAAAGGAAGGCACTTAGAAGACCAGTGAGATTAGCTCTCCGCTGCTGAGCCCTCACTGCAGTGTGCGCGCCATGGTCCACAGTGTGTTCCATAGGCAATTCTCCTTGTGTCCCAGTGGAGTTTGGCTTGCTGCTGTTGGAGTTTTGCAGACTGTTGTTTTTGAAGGCATTTCAGTAGCTGCTATTAGACACGAGGAGAGATGGCCTAGCAGCCAGGGTAGTCTGAGTGGAAGAGTGTAGTAAACTGGATCCCTCTTCTGTGGTGATGAGGAAGGTCAAACAGTTCTGTACTAGGTACAGTAGGTAAAACAAACGGCCTTTGTCGTACACATCTGTGTTTGGCTTGACACAGGAGTTAAGAATTGCCAAGTAGAGAGTTACATGTAACTGGAGGGTTTGCACTTCTAAGGTGAGGGGTTGGGGGCCCTTCTGGAAGAAGGGAATAAATGTGGAGATTTGTAAGGTTTCCTATTCTGGAAATGTCAGTACTTTATGTGGCATCTTATAGAACCTTTTGCTACAAGGCCCCAGCCCCCAGTACTCTTGTGATTCTCAAACACTCTTAAAGGCAGTATCACAGGAAGTGACAGCACAGGCAGGTCAGATTTCAAGGAAGGGATGAGAGTGGGGGTTGGAGCTAGAGTTTATCGGCGGAGTACTTACCGAGCATGGAAGGTCCTGGGCTCATTCCTAAGTACTGCCAAACAAATAACAGGTCTCACCTCTCCAGGCTCCTGTCCTCTATCTACGAAGTCATGTAAGAAGCAGTAGGTAATGGTTATGTTAAATGGTATTTCTGTGTACTGCAAAGCATGTTTTACAAACTGATAAGATTAGGTACTTTACAAGTTGGAAAAACTTGTGGCTGCAGAAGCAGCAAGTAGATACAATCTTTGATTGCACCAAAACCTCAGACATTTTAAATAGACACTTTTCTTGAGAACCTATACGAGCCTTGATAGGTGTGAATAGGCTAGTAGACTATGAAGTTGATGCGGGAGTGTGTAAATTTCAAGGGCTGGAAGTTGGGCCCTTGAGCCAACATTTGTTCAGTGGATGTTTTGGTGAAGGTTTACCTGTGACTGTGACAGTTCTTCAGCCCGAGAAGTTCTGATACTGGAGTGGGTATCAGTTGACTGCGCTGTAGGCTTCAGGAAGCAGAGGCAGGTGGTTTATGAAGATTGGAGCAGGGATGGCTTCATGGATCTCTGACTGCTGTGCCTCTACGAAGTTTGCAGTGACACTGCTGCACTGGTGTCACCTGGAGTTATGGGGAGTCCAGGCCCCTTAGGTAAGCTGTGGCTAGTGAACATTGCTGCTCTGTGATAATTTATAACTGCACTTCTCCATTGTCTGAAGTTCAGCTGAAGAAACTTCTTGTGGTAGTGCTGGTTGTTATAAACTTTGGTGGGTCCTTACCTTGCCCTTTACCTGAGTAGCTGAAGATAGAAGATGTGGTCTTGACTACAGCCACACGTTTTTGCTGCAGAATTTTGCTAGTTTGGAGGTAGGGGCTACGGCCAATTGGGGTACCCAAGATTGTAGAAGAAAGCCTTCAATTCTCCCCTAAAACTTTGAGCAAGCACAGCTCGTCGTGCCCCCTCAGCTGGAGCTTTGGATAGGACTGGTGAACTTAAACTCGTTTTTTAAAGCTTATTTTTGTGTGTTTCTGTCTGTGTTAGAATGAGAACAAGAGACCGTGGAGTGGCTGGGAGTAGAGGAGCAGGTATGTGTGGCTTTGTATTCCTGGGTGTAGGATTATGCATAAAAAGGTCAGAAGATGGGGTGAAATATGTGTCCTTACCTTTCTACCTAGTTTGGGTCAGTCTGTTGATACTGAGTAAGCCAGACTAGCTAGCTTTCCCATTTTCTGGAGATTCTCCGGTTTCTACCCCTGCCTCCTTCCAGGGCCTGCTGGGATTATAGATACTTGTATTACTTGTGGGATTTGGAGAAGAGAACTGGGGTGGTCAGCCTAGCAGGGCAAGCCCTTTTACTTACTGAGTCATCGCCTTAGCCCCAGCATTGCTGAGCTCCCAACAGGGAGCACAGTGCTTTGGTTAATATTTAAGAGCTGGAACAATGACAGCCACATTAAGGTTAATTAACCACATCTTAAACTTACATGTAGTGTTCTATTTCTGGAGACAGGACCAAAGCCCCCAGCTTAAACTGCCAGTAACTATTTTGAGCAGACAGGAAAAGACTAGCCAGTGTAAAGGTGAAATTTTCTTCTTTTTTATATAGTCTTGGGCTTCCTAAAATTCTGCCTTTGGATTCAAGGAGCAACCTAACAAGGAAAGAGCTGTACACTTAAATACTGTTTTAACTCATAGTCCATGATGTGAGACAGACTAAACCATGGGTCTGAGAACTGGGAACGCTTTGGTGTGGCTCTGTTCTACCGGAGGTTCGCCACACCTGGATTGTCATCGAAGTTACAGGCAAAAGGATAGATGCTTCATTCCTAATGAACTCAACAGTTTACAGCAGATACCTAGGGTATTGTGAGATGTGAGGATATTTCAGGAAGGTTTGCCAACTGCAAATAGAAAATTGAGGCTCCAAATGAGTTCTGCCCTTGAGTTGTTAAGAATGTTTGGTTTTTAATTCTGTAGAGGCATGGAAGACTGAAGTGGGTAACTGGAGGGAAATGCTAGGAATAACTGGAAATGGAAGGTGCCACCTTCCTCAGTATACAGTGGGGAAATGGAACAATCATCACAATCTTACATGAGTAGTTTGCAGCCATTGTTAGTTGAGAATCACTAAGATACTGAACATGAAGATGACTTTCAAAGATCTCATTATGGTCAAGTTATAGATTGGAATGGTATCTCAGTGAGCCCTGGCTGTCTTGGTACTATTTAGACACCAGTCTGGCCTTGAACTTACAGAGTCACCTGCCTCTGCCTCCCAAAAGTGCTGGGATTAGTGTGCCAGTAGGCCGGCCAGTGCCTGATGATGTTTTTAAAGAGGTAGTTAAGCTTTTGTTTGGACAACTAAATAAGACCACTTCAGTAGTTTAGTTTCTTTTGAACTAGTCTAGAAGCTTCTATTGTTTAAAGTCTATAGATAGACATACATAGTCCACAAGCTTATTTGAAACTAATCAGCAAAATAATACAATGGAATATTTCTAGCCAGATGAAAAGGTAGAAGAAAACTTGACCCAGAAAATGAGAAGATTAAAAGGGCCAAGTAAAAGCAAAAAGAGCATAAGATGATAAATACAAATGAGTAATTGTAATAGTGTAAAATTTATAACTTCTGAAGAGACAATAAACAAAAGATAGCTGGCATAGCAACATGTAATATTAGACAATTCAGGCTGAGGTAAAAAAAGTAGTAACACAAGGGACATAGGACAAAAGGAATAATGCACCAAGTTGAATCAGTTAGGAATTTGTATGCTCTGACAACACAGCCTTAAAAAATAGAAAAAGCCAACAGTGAAAAAATACATATAAAATAAAAAATTCCACTTAGGACTTCAGGAAAATCATGCAATGAGAAGTGAAAAATACCGTAACTGAGTAACTATTATTAGCATTTGAATCTTTAATGCTTACTATACAATATACCATTACTGTTAAGGGAAAGGAATTTGTAGCAGCTAGGTTTTGTGACTTTAAATTTTCTTTTTTCATACAAGCCTCTATTAAAGTAAATGCAACTGTTGGTCTGATATACTTGATTCACTAAGTTCTTTCAGTAGCCACCCCCTCCAAACCCCTAGCTGGGCATGGTGGGATACACCTTAAATCACAGCACTCTGGAGGTAGAGGCAGGGACATCTCTTAAGTTTGAGGCTAGCCTGCCTGGTAGAGTTCCAGGTCAGCCAGGGTTACCTAGTGAGAACCTGTCTTAAAAAAAAAAAAAAAAAAAAAAAAAAGATCATAAGAAGATGGTGGGAGAAAACCAATAGTTCCTTTTTTATTTCATCTTTTCCCACTGACCTAGTAAGCTGGTGAGAGGCACAGAAGACAGTAATTTGCATAGGATTACAGTTAAAACAGCAGTGCCTAGACTCAAAGGGCTCCTGCTGAGCCTTAGCACACCACAGTACAAACACCAGTCATAACTATATCGTGGAAAGCATAACTGGATCCAAATTATCTGAGATCAAGTAAGACCCTTAAACTTGAACAGAGTAGTGTTTGAAGCTGAGGGTAGTTAATGTGACAGTTATGAAAGTGCCTACAGAAACTTGTTTGTATCCTAAGCCTGCTTATATACTGATGCAAATTCAAGCAGTTTTTAGGAACTGTATAGCCAGCTTTTCTTTAACATTATTCCTTTCTTGTTTTCAATGCTCCATGTCCTAGAATACATTGATTGTCCTCTAACCCACAGCTTCTTCGTGGGTCACATAACTAACTGTGGGGGAAACCAAAAAACTGTCAACAGAAAAAGGTTCCTGAACACACAACCAAAAATTGATTGAAAATCAAATG